CTGTGCAGGGGGAACTCCCTCTATGGCCTTTTCTAGCAGTTGTTGAACTTCTTGCCGAAGGGTCGGCGGTGTTGCTGTCTGAACGAAAACGAGAGTGGGGGGTATCTGAACCCATTCTATCTGATGTTATGTGGCTCTACGCAGGGTAGAAGGAACCAAGGCGGGCAGTCCAGAGCAAAGAGAAAGGATGGGAGAACAGAACCAAGGGTTGGTGGCTGTCTGGAGAGTCAAAGACCCTGTTTGGAGTTCTTTGCTGTTTTGCCCTTGCCTTGATGCAAGGTCTGGTGAAACTTAGGCTTTTGGGTGTAAGTAGATCTGGAAGAGGATTGCAAATGTCTAGACTTCCAAGAATCGTCTGGGGATTGCCTATTGTATGGTCTCCTGTTGGTTTGAGCCCACGTTTTGGATCATTGGGAGTGATATGAAGGAGAGACTCCCAGGCTTTGAGAAGCTTTGAGACTCTTGTCCATCTCCTGGAGGACAGAGTCAGTGGTGAAGTGGAAGAGTCCTTGACCAATGAATGGCAAATCCTCAATGAGAGCCCTGGAGTCTGGAGGGATGTGGTGCAAAGCCAGGAATAACGGCGGAGGGCTATGGCCAATGACATCGCCTTAGAACTGGTATCTAGGCTGTGCATTGCAGAATTAATCACTTGCTTGGCCAGTAGCATGCCCTTCTTCTGTAACTTCCTGGCCTCATCGTGCTGTTGTGTAGGGAGCTGCGCCAGGAGAGGTGATAATTATTCCCATAGTGAATATTGGTAATGCCTCATGCAGGTGAAATAGTTGGATGTTTTCACACCCAGGGTGCCTGCCGAATAAAATCTTCCAAACGCATCCAACTTCTTGCTTTCCTTATCTGCAGGGGTGGAGTGCGTCTTTTTACTTTTACTAGACAGGGTAGCTACCATCAAATTAGGTTTAGGATGGGAGCAAAGGAATTCCGCTCCTGCCTCCTGTATCTTGTACATATGGTCCAACCTCCTGGTGGAGACCGGGGTAGACATATGTTTGTCCCAGTGAGACTTGACTGCTTGAAGTAAAACCTGAGTCATAGGGAGTACAACCGCTGTTGATGTATCCAGTTGGATAATGTTGAACACGGCATCAGTGACCTGGGGCTGAGGCTGGGAGATCACAATTCCCAATGAATGAGCCATCCTCTTAACTAGATTGCCATAGGAATGGAGATCCTCCGAGGGCGAAATAGGAAGATCTTCAGACACTTGTTGACTGGGAGAGGGGCCCGAAGGGGTGGCCAGTGCTCCAGAGTCTTCCTCATCTGAATAGCTCCCTGTGGAATGGGACAATTCTTCCTCTTCTGACAACATGTGTGGCGGGTCAACCTGCATTGGAAGTGGTGCATGAGCCATGATTGTGTCATTGACGATCTCGGTGAAGTCAGCCTCGATTCCTTCCATGAGAGAGGGCCTGTCGGTTTCGATGGGTTCTCACGGGTCTTAGATGGTGTCAGTATCGGGGTAGTACGATCCTGAACAGGAGAACAGGGATGGCGGGAGATGCTTGATAGTTGATCCCAGTCCGCCAGCTTAGCCATGAGAACGTTGTGGCTAATGGCAGTGTGCTATAGAGGTATTGCAGCTGCCTATGGTCCCACGGTACCACCATGGTCTACCAGGGGATGGCAAAGGTGGCAGGTGGCCAGTCACGAGGGGATTGATCCCGAGATCTCGAAGAAGGGCTGCTGTGGTGAGAAGATGAACGGTCTTGTCTGCACCTGGATCTACGTCAATGTCGATGACCAGTGTTGATGGGCAAGCTGGAGCGTGAACGGTCGGAGGTCGAGGACCTGGAGCTCCGCATATGGGATGCCACTTGGTGCAAGCGGATCTCTTTGACCTCCAATTCCGAAGGAGGAAGGTCTTCCGGTATTGGTCTGTGTGCTGGGGAAACCATTTGATAGTTCGGCAAATCCAGCCGCATGGTAGGGTGTACCTTGGGCACCGTCGACAGATCCGGTGAAACCGAGTGGGGCAGGGCAGTAGCAGCCTGCATAGTAGCCGTTGACGCTGCACTCATTGGAGTGGATTTAGGGCTAGGTTTAAGGTATTTGTGTTTCACCTTAGTATGGCCCTTTGCCTCCTTCTTTTTCTTAGATGTCAATATTGAAGACACTGAAGACATAATCGGTGTGGGTGGTTTTAGTGTTGATGTCCCAGCAGTGGGGGAGGCGATGCCTAATGCAGCAGATGATCGGGGCCGATCCTTCAGTGTAGATCGAAGCCAATCCGTCGGTGTCGATTGAGGTTGATCCTCCAATGCCGACTTCATTGTTACCTCAGTCGGTGTAGAAGTCATTGCCCCTGGTCGCAGTCCTGACTCCAGAAGGGCCGCTTGAAGTCTGGCTGCTCTGTTTTTCCTCGTCTGATTCAAGAACTTGACACAATGGACACAGGTGTCGGTACAATGCGCCTCACCCAGGCAGAGCAAGCACAAAGAGTGGTTGTCGGGCAGTGCTAGCTTGGACCCGCACTGGGAGCAGTGTTTTAAAAAAACCCACCGCTTTGCCATAGAAGGGGGGGGGCAAAGCAGTAAAGGAAAACAGGCTATGCCGACTGAAGGGGGGTCCGACTGAAGTCGGTAAGAAGCAAAATAATTAGCCCTCTTTTTTTTTTTTAGAGCGAAAGAAAACCAATAAAAGTGAGCAGAAAAGGCAGAAAGTACTAGAAACAGAAAACACTGTCCCTAACGAGAAAGATCCTGGACCAAAGCAGATAGAGTGATCAGTGCGGCGATCAGAAGAGAACTGGTGGGATACCGGGGTCCTGCCCTCTGGGTATGTGTGGTGGAGTCCCTGCGCATGCTCGGAGGCGGGGCTCTGGATCCTTTTGAACTGGATAGAAGTTTCCCAAATTGGAGTTGGCGCAGAAGCCTAACCCATAGGTGTGATGCATAGAGACCACGTCAAAGATCTGGAGGTTCCTTCTACATGCAGCAGAAGTTCAGGTTTGGTTCCTGATTGCATCTCTGGTAGTAAAAGTTTATGTGATTGTCCATTTGAACTAATCAAAAGAAAACAATACTGCTTGATGAACCACCTGGTCCTGGGGTGGGGGAAAGGAGTAAAAGTCAAGACTTGTCATTGTCAAGGAGATGTGAGAAGGGAAGATGAGATCAGATTGATAGGATTACCAGTGGAGACTGAAAAGAGGTTACTCTGAGGCAGACAGGTCCATTGTCTGGAGCATGCAGATGTTGGCGGGGGGGGGGTAGTCACAGGGCAAGATCGCATGTGCTTTTCCAGGGTCATATCCTAGGCATGTAATTCCTGGCTTGCCAGTCCTGGCTTCCATCTTTATGTTCACGTATGTCAAGTTCCCTGGTGTATTTGGACTCCTGGGGCACCCTTCTGGGGTCCACTGAAGGTTTGAAAGATCCCTCCTGTTGGACAGGTCGGCATACTTACAGACATAGGAGGTTCCCACCTGAAACAGCTATCACAAGGACTACAGGCAGGACAGGTACACCGCGAGCTATGGCAGAGCAGCTTTTAAAGGAATCCCAGGAGACAAGCTAACAGGAGCTGGGGAGCCTTCGGTTCGGGATGCGTCAGTCCAAAGGGATGACTCAGGGTAATATTGATAGGAGCACAATAGAACTTGACAGTGAGGGTAGGGTGGCAAATCAGGGCCATGCATGGCAACTAAAAGGCTGAAGGAGGTGAAGGTTGCTGGACATATTATAGGTGTCCATAAGCCAATGCTAGAAGTCTCCAAGCCAAGATGGGGGGACTCATGTTTGGTGCTCAGAATTGTTAATAAAATATTTTTTAAAATAATGTTCTTCAACCTCAATAATGCCAGAATATTTATCGCTACACGTTAAACCTGAATTCTGCAGAAATCCTGATTATCACAGCCATTCTGTTTTTCACTGTTAATGGTTAAGCATTTTAGATACTTGGTAACACCAAACACGGATCCTGCCTCCCAAAATAGTTCAGGAACAATATTTTCCAACTTTTCCTAACAATGCCTTAACCTTTTTTTCCTAGAGACACACATTTTCCAGATTTCTGACTACATTACAAGGGTTCCAGTAAAACCACCAAGTTATTATACCATCAGCAATATTTCAATCAACCATTACAAAAGCCTGTATTCATGCATAAAATATGAATTTTAGAAATAGTATATGCTATGATGAGCAGCAGTTCCAAACAGCTACCACAATCCATATGATAGCATTTGAAAACCTTTAACCACACTGATGTTTTAATTTTATAAAACAGCACTCTTATAACTAAGAAGTCTCCTAAATAGTGTTGATGACTGCCCGAGCTGCACTTTAGTCATGCCACACCCAGCTGATACTGCAGGAAAGATTGTCATTTTATGGCCATCTACTTACATGCAACAATTCATGCAGAAGGCTGTGAGCATTGGGAGGCTTTAGGGTGACATAAGAGGAGCAAGAGAGGTCAAGTTATTAAGAGGGAGAAAAGCTCAGGAGGAAATACAGCTTTTAGAAACGCAGGGTCTGTTTTGGTGGTCCACACATAAGCAGACTAACACTCTGAGAGCATCCTGTTCAAACCCACTGACTGCATTCAAAGCAAATACTCCAGGTTGTGATCAGGTTTCCAGACTGAATGCGACATGGGGCAGGGTGCCTTTTTTTCAGACACCACACTGCTTTGGCTGAAAATGCTAATTAGCAGTTGTTTATTTCTAGACTGTATTTCCAGAAAACCTTGTCTGATTTAAAGTTATTCAACTAGCCAAAGGACACTGCATGGTTAATTTGCTGATCAGCCTGAAATGTGCGGTTCTGCTTCCTTCCACTGAAAAAGTGGGATTTAATTTAAAGACAAAGTATTTACTACAAACTGCTTCAGCTCTTTAAACGGATGCCTCAACAAAGCCAGATTAGAAAGCAAAGGGAACAGCTCTCTTCGACTTTATCCTCCAAGCCTCACAGTGCCTGCCACCCAGAGTTGCTCTACATCATCTATCTATGAACAGTAAGGTAGGCACAGACCAAGCAGTTGGTAATACAGCTTGGCACGCAGACACCGGACGAGAGAGACTGCAGCAAGGGTTTCACGTGATCGTGTGTAATGTTCGTCCACACCTTAGTCTTCGACTTGGGGCTGCCGCCGTTCTGCCCTTCTTCCGAAGCATCATCCCCTCGGCCAGAATTCAGCCACCTTGTCTTCTCCCGCTGCTGTTTCTGAAAACTGTGCCGCAGAGGGGAACAAGTGCCCGAGTCCCCATCGCTAGCAAAAGAGTACCCTGTGACACTAGCAGGAATCTCCACATCACTGAATTTCTTAGACTTCTCTCTCAGAGCAGGGCATCGATAGGGGTAGCCAGTTCTGTAACCCTGAAATACCACAGTAAAATACGTCATCACATTGGATATCGGAACCTAGTAATGCTTCAGTTTAAAAAGTAATGAAGGTAACTATTACCACATATTCAGGTGGGTCGCTGTGTTGGTCTGAAACACAAGAACAAAGTTTGAGTCCAGTGGAGGCACCTTGAAGACCAACCAAGTTGAATTCTGGGCATAAGCTTTTGTGTGCACGCCGTGCACAACTTGCACACGAAAAAATTCAAATTTATTGGTCTTAAAGGTGCCACCGGACTCAAACTCTGCTCTGTTATTATATCCTGTCAATGCCAATTTCTGCCCTGAGGACTCATACCCTTTGAGTTTTTAGCACCCAGAAAAAACACAGACAACACATGGAAGGAATTCCTGAGATGGAAAAATCAGCACCTCATATAATTGTTTTATATAAAACAGTAAACAAGAATATTATTCTTGCCTTCAAGAATAAAATCCATAAATTGGAATTAACAGGGCGGCAGTTCAAGGTTTCAGGAGCTCAGCCCTGTTCATTTCCATCAGTGCTGAATGTGGGTACTTGGAAAATCACTGCTGGAAACGAACCAGGAGAGAGCTAGGTCCTTTTCTAGCTAGGACTTTCACAGTGCCACCCTAATCAGACTGAAATCAATGAACGTAGAAGAGTCTAACTTATAAATCCCTTTGCACCAAGCAGCATTCCACTATACCCAAGCTGCTGTACACATTGGGAGGGGGGATGAGCACAACTCTGTGCAGGAAACAAATAAATAAGGTGCACAACATGTTCTTCTTGCCACTCTTTATATGCTTATTAAACAATAAGAAGAAATAAGAAGGGCTGGCATGGACCATCCCTTGAGGAGGACATAATTCTGAACACCGGCCGAGTCTGCAGCCATTCTATTCCTCCTAAAAACAAGAATGCCATTTTATTGCCCCACAACAGGCAGGAGAAATACATAGTTTACATCTTACCTCAGTGATATTTAAAATAGATAAAAGATGGGGGGGGGAATCTAATAATGATCTGCATTGCTGGGAAACAGACCACGTCAGCCACAGTTAAGGGTGCTCCAACTATGCTCTTGCCTGACACAAACCACAATGGCTCTTATTTGTTTACAAAGAGACAGAGGAGAAGATAGACTCCACAACAGTGAGCTACTGATATCAGGCTGCTCCTGGACTGTGTTATCAAGCTGCTCCTGGTGGCACCACCCCCCACTCCTTTTTGATTACAAGAGGTGTTAAGATGGAAAAATCAAGGCAAAAGACAACAACACAGGACAATATCAGTAGCATGTAAAATTGTTAAAACAAACGCAAAAGGGAGAGATTTAGCATTAGCAAATTTTCTGTATTATGGCCCCGGTCACACAGGCAGGAAACTGCAGAGGAGAAGCGTGGCTGTTTGCCCTGGGGCAAACTACTGCGCAGTTACATGATCAGACCTCCTGTGGAGGTCCTGTGGAGGTACCGTGGAGGTTCCATGGCAAGGGAGAGGTGCCAATCACAGGACAAGCCGGCGCGCAACGAAGAAGCGCGCGCCACGGCAAACTGTTTTTTATATTTGTGTACATGACAAATGCGCATGCTCCGTTGGGTGCACATGCACATCCACAGAGACTTGGACAAAAAAAACACACCTTATTTGCAAGGGGACATGGGTGGGTACCGGATGCCACCGGAAACGCGATCAGACGCCCGCCCTTGCCCCGCAGTTTCCGGAAACTAGTACCTCCAAGGTACTAGTTTTTTGCCACGCAGTTTCGGCTGGAAGCCTCGGTTGAGCCACGGGAGCGCTACGCTTCCCAGATGTGCTGGTGAGATCGCGCCCGGAAACTCCGGCTGTTTTCCGTCTCACTTGTGTGGCTTCTGTTACGTGTGACCGCAGCCTATGTTTGGCAAGATAGTTGATCACTCAGTCTTTCTGGAAATCCTGCCCCCCCACCCATATTTCTGGCACACACACACAGACAGACACACAAACAAACAAACCCTCTCCTTCCAAAGCCCTGTGTCCTTCAGAAAAGTTTAAATGGAAACAAAAACTTTAATTGGAAAAAAAATTGTTGGTATTAAGCAACTGAACAGTGACTTCTTTCTTACCAAGTTATCAAGCATTCGCATAAGAGCTTCGAATTCCTGTTCTCCTGTCTGCCATTTTAGATGAGACGCTGTCCCCTCCCCTTCCGGAGACTCATGACATCGAGACTTTGCTTTATATTTTCCTGGGTCCAACAGCACTAAATTGTCTGGGCCCCCTGCACTGGTCAAAGTACGTACCTTAAAATAATCAAAACAAAGTCAGTTTCTATAGTATTACATTTATTATCACACTGTCTACTGCTGTGACCTATACCAACCAGCTTTTTACAATTATAGTGACAGGCAAACAAATGAAAAAACAGCATGCTTACTTGGATCTCACAAGCAACAACCAGATTATGAATATAGTAGAAAGCCTCTTCCACACTTTCTCCAACCGATACCAAACCATGGTTTCTGAGGATGAGAACCTTGGGGAAGAGAAACAGAAAAAGGAGTGTTGTAGGTGAGAGGAATTCTGACACAAAAGCCTTTCCATAAGTGCCTCAGAGAGCTCCGAAACGACTGACCTTGCTTTTGGGCCCGAGATTCTTCTGAATCAAAACCTTCTCCTCCTCATCCACAAGAATCCCATGGTAATCATGATAAGCAACTTCTCCAAGGGACAGTGCCTCAGGTGACAGAGGCAAGAGACCACATTTCATTGCAGACACCTGAGGGTGTTATAACATGTTTTACGCAAAAGAAAGACGCATCAACAGAGTGTGTAACCTATGGTTATACTATTTTTAATTACTAAGATATAATAACCATTTAGACTAGCAAGAATGTTGAGGAGGATAACACTGCTGGTCAACAGAATTGTTACTAGGACCTCCCCAAAAAGAGGGGCTGCAGCTTCAGTAAGATCTTTAACCTCCTCAAATGTCTAAATTACTGGGGGGGGGGGGGGAGACACCTTATTTTTTTACTCATGCTTGTTTTCTATACATCTGTATAACCAATTATCAACTTACAGAGTAAAGTAACCAACCAAGCAATACAATTTTGGTCCTAAAAAGATCCTCTCCTCCCTATTAACAAAATACCAAGCCAAAACAAAAATACTGTGCTCTTTCCTAAGCAGAGTGCTTAAACTTCTGACTCAGCCCGCTTGCAGCCACCGGAGATGCAGGTGAGTATGCCACGGGAGGGCTGAGAACCGGGTGTAGAGGAGACTAGTCTTGGCTCAGCCTCTGAGCCGCCAATCACAGCGCTGTTCTGCCCATCACTGCCAAACAGGAAAGTGCTCTTTGAGTGTTCCACCTATCTGAACCTGCCCCCAGTGTTGAACAAACAAAGGTTGTACAAGTTGGCTTAACACTGTAACCCTAGACAGAGTTACTCCAGTCTGTCCATTGAAGACAGCAGGGTAAGACTGGAGTAGCTATGCACAGGACTGTTCTATAGAAATAGGCTGAATCAGGCTGGTTTTTTCTTATCTAATTTTTTATCTGAAGTGTGAGTTAAGGCACTCTTCCCAGTTTTATTATTTCGGTTCTTCAACACTGAGCACTCCCTATCATTTCTACTGGCTGCTGCTGGGAAAAGACAACTGTTCCCTTCCTTTCAGGTATTTGGAAACAACAACCCCCCCTCCCCGGGCCGCCTCCTCTTCTCTACTGGAAGCCACACCACTACACATGAAATTGCCTGACACTTTATTGCTAGCATAAGAAAGGGTCTCTTACCGCTGCCCCAGCCGGTGTGTGAATATGAACAATGCACTTAATGTCAGGTCGAGCAGCATAAATGGCAGAGTGCAAAGTGAAGCCAGCTTGATTCACTCCCAGATTAGTGCTTCCACGGTCAATTACATCACCTTGAATATTTATTTTAACCTGACAATATAAAACTGCATTAGTCCTCAAGGTAATTTTATTTATTTTTATTCAAGCCACATTGTCCCGTTGCAATACAGAAACAGATTCAATAATTCTGAAGGCTCCTTGATGAAATAATGCACACTGAAGCAATTCCACTGATTGTGTAAAGTTGGAACAAATCACTGTTCGAAAGTACTCCAGATGTTACACAAGCACAAACTGTTTGCTAAAGTATCTTTCCTACCCCAGTGGCTTCCCCCAGTGCAGAGTGCTTAAACTTCTGACTCAGCCCGCTTGCAGCCACTGGAGATGCAGGTGAGTATGCTACGGGAGGGCTGAGAACCGGGTGTAGAGGAGAGGAGGGTGTAGAGCCATTGATTTTTTGGGGTATAGGATTTCAGAGAAGGGGCTGGAAATGGACCCGGGGAAGGTCCAAGATGTACGAGGGTGGGAGGCCCCCCGCACCCGCCGCCAGCTACAATCCTTCCTCGGATTTTTGAATCTTTATCGATATTTTCTACCCAACTTTGCCCAAGTCAGCTTGCCCCTCACTGATCTGTTGAAAACCAAGGGGAAGGGCCCGGAGGCGACCAAACCAGGCACTAAGCTGCTATGGACAGACAAATGCCAGGAGGCATTCGACCACCTCAAGGTGCTTTTCACCTTGGAGCCAGACTTAACAAGCACGTGGTAGGCTATTCAAAATTCCTGGCATTTTAGGTGCTTATCACACATTCTGTATTATGATGGCATGGAAAATAGGAATAGGAAATTGAAGGCAAAAATAACATAAAATAATGAAGCAATACATAATTAAAGCCACCTTAAACCACTGTTTATGCAATGCAACATATGAAGGGTTTCTTGATGTTAGGAATGATTACCGGCTGTATCATGCTAAGTATGATGATGGCTTGGGATCATGGAACAGAAATCGTCGGCTATTGGTTTTACCACTGAATCTCTCAAGGAACTGGGGCTTGCTGAATAAGCAATTACAATAAAAAACAAGCAAACAGATTAGGCAGCTTTTATTGGGGGGGAAAGGAAAGTTGTATCATGCAACTGCTTGAAAACCTCTGAGTTACACAGAATGGAAAACAGAATGTATAAAAAACAGGCTACACATTTAACTGAACTGGGTCATTTCAGAATGGATTCGTTCTCACAACACAGCCCCACGCGACTCTCCTGGAGTGCAGAGGCCTCACCACCAGCCCCTGAAATAGCCACCAGGCCAGGCTTACAGACACAGAAGCGCCCTCTGTGTGAAACGACTTTAAATAACTGCACTTTGACAAGGTAAAAAAGTGCAACCATTTTGAGCCATTCAGTCAGTAAGCTGCACTAAGCAAAGGCTCGTGCCATGCTGGAAAATTCCAGAGCATCCTCACGGAACTAATCCCATTGAGACCGACTCTATCTATATGGAATCACTGGGAGAGGATACACAGGAATTTGCAGTCTGATGTCCAGAACATGCTGCAATATTTCTCCTTTCTCTCTAAGTCAGGTGAACCTGTAATCAGTGACTGGCTTGTGCTAAAATGAAAAAATGTAAATTAATTTCCAAAGGAAAGACAAATGACTAAGGACAAGTTTGTGGCCTTGTTCTTAACACATGGGAGGAAGGTATAAATGCCAGAAACTAACACTGGTACAACTAATTCCCACTGAAAGAATGTGTTCTGCTGGCTTGAGCAGGATCTTATCACACATAATTTATGTTAGACTGTGATTCAGGTTTTTTACTTACCAGGCTAGAAGCAGTAACCTCACTGTAGAGAAGCCCAAAAGGCACAATGAGAAAGTGCTCCTGCTCTGAATTTACTCTGACCTACAAATGAAAGGAATAAAACCTGATTATGCACAAATATGACTTTGAAAACAATCTCGTTGTACCAGTATGCAAAAGAAGACAAAAATAAAACTCTGCTTGACTTCTAGAAGCTGTTGAAAAGCACATAATTAAAGGTGGGAATCACAACACAAGTCCACAAAAGACCTAAGGAAAGTAAACATTAAGTGTTGTAGTACTACTTTACATCTGAAGATCAAACAAAATCTCTGAATGGCTTCATCATGGTTGTTATAGATATCACAATTTACAATTTAAAAGTCATTTTTTGGGGAAAGAAGCCCTGGAAAAAAAACTTTCTGTGTTTGAAAATTCCTTGGTTCTTTTATTTTCAACTTAAAAATATTTATTGTACTGCAGGTTTTATTAGAATCAACAGAAGGGCAGATACTGCATTTGAAAAACTGACACTTGTCCCTGGAGCTGGCAGATAAAGGCATTATGGAACCTTCTGTTCCTGAGCAAGGTGGTTGAGAGGGCAGTAGCTGAGCAGCTCCAGGAATTTCTGAGTGACTCTTCCATCCTGGACCCTTTCCAATCCAGCTTCCACCTTGGCCATGGGACGGAGGCACCGCTGGTCCCCCTCACGGACCTCTGGATCAACCAGCCATCGTTACTTGACCTAACAGCAGTGTTTGACACAGTCGATTATAGCCTTTTGACCCACCGCCTCGCTGACGTGGGGATACAGGGGATGCCGCTTGAGGAGAGGGTATCTCCTGCATTACCCTTTGGTATGCAGTGTGCTGCAAGGAGCAGTCCTCTCCCCGATGTTATTAACATCTATATGCACCCCCTTGCCCAGTTAATCAGGGGGTTGGGCTGGGTTGTCATCAGTACACTGGTGTAGTAGTTAAGTGTGTGGACTCATATCTGGCAGAACTGGGTTTGATGCCCCACTCCTCCACATGCAGCTGCTGGTGTGACCTTGGGTCAGTCACAAGTTCTTTCAGAGCTGTTCTCTCAAAGACAGTTCTGGAAAGAGTTCTCTCAGCCCCACCTACCTCCCAGGGTGTCTGTTGTGGGGAGGGGGAGGGAAAGGAGTTTGTAAGCTGCTCTGACACTCTGAGTGAAGGGTGGGGTATAAATCCAATTTCTTCTTCTTCTCTTCTTATATCTGCTGATGGATGACCGGCCTGATTCCACCCCAAATAATTTGACCTGGGCTTTGGAGACTGTGGCTGGCTGGCTGCAACGGTGCCGGATGAAACTGAATACAGCGAAGATGGAGGCCCTGTACCTGAGTGATGGGGGGGATAGGGTTTGGAATCCGAATCCCAGCCCTTGGTGGGGCGCAATTGACACCGGCCACAATGGTGAGGAGCTTAGGGGCGACCCTTACTATGGAGGCCCAGGTCACCAATGTTGACAGGTCAGCCTTTCCCCATCTTCGGCTGGTCAGGCAACTGGTTGCCCTATCTCTCTCTCCCCCATGACATGGTGACAGTGATCCATGCAACAGTCACTTTCAGGTTAGATTACTGCAACTCACTCTACGAGGGCCTAACCTTGAGTACGACCTGGAAGCTTCAGCTGGTACAAAATGTAGCTGCACACCTGCTGACCGGACGTCTATGCGGACGCACACTCAGCCAGTGTTGCGCCAACTGCATTGGTTGCCAGTTGAGTACCAGATCAGAGTCAAGGCGACGGTACTAACCTCTAAGGCCCTATGTGGCCAGGGACCAACATACCTACAGGACCGTTCTTTTTTGCCGGACTGTTAAATCTGTGTTTTCTGTAATAGTGTATTGCATTTTATTTGCTTTATAATTAAACTGAACTTTTAAAAAATCTGAAGATCAGACTGCTGTTTCGAATCCCCTGAAATCCAACAGATGGCATTAAGGTCCTAGAAAAAGATTTTAGCCATATTAGAGTTCCAGCAGACATCAGAATATCCGGCATTTGCATAACTTTAAAGAACTCTATCATGTATCCTCCCTCAGTTGTCTTTTGTTTTGTTTGTGGTTTTGCTTTCGGATCAGGAGTAGGAAGCTGGCCAGGGAGGTGATGGGGTCCTTGGATTCCAAAGAGTGAAAGGTTTGTTAAAGGACAGAGAGAGAAGTGGTAGGGAAACTGAACTCATTGTTGAAAACATGGAGCTGTTGAGCTGCTTTACAAATTACATCCAATGTACTTTCAGTGTACATGTTGTGACTGTGATATATCTGTGTTTGCAAGCCTGTGCATCACAAAGAGAAGGTCAAGAACTTTCACTCCACTGGGAGCTGCTGCCATTCAGAGGCAAACCTGAACTGGCTGCTGTGTTCTGCAAAGGCTCTCATTTAATTCTCTCAAGTATCTTCAGTTAGTTCAGGAAAACATCATCTATTGATAGTGAGTTGCAACTAGAGCAGCTGAGTTAAGTGAAATTACATACAAGATAGACTCGGAAGCCTGGAAACCTCTTCACAGTTGAGCTTTGTTATAAATAAAGACAACTTCATTTTTTTTACTACAGCTGCAGCTGAATGCTCCCCTGACATTTCAAAGCTCATTGTAACGCTGGTCATTCCCTCAAGCATCCCCATTGTGGTGGCCAATAAATTAGTCACAGTACGGGAAGCTGGCACAGACTCTTAGCTAACAATCTGTTCTCACTCCTTTAAGATCCACGGTACCAAAATGCTGCAGTTACATGTTAAAAAGAAACTTAAAACCAGATGGTCCACTGCACTAAGAATAAATCATTACCCACACCAGTATAACAAGTATTGCTGTTTCTTAATTGAAGAAGCCAAACCTTTCCAAAATTTTGTTGCACTGCACTGCAAAGACTTTTCAGAGGGAACCAGTCACGGCCAGCATTCAGAGGGAAGTCGCAAGACCTCCTTGACATTTCATTTGTTTGCATTCTGCAGGACAGCCATATTCTCCAGATATTAGTCCGGGGGCTGAAACAACCCAACCTCATCACAGATGATAAAGGCCTATAATAAAATTAGCACCACACTAACAGCAGCAAGTACAGCACAATGACACTGATTCCAGAAAGCACCCCACACACACACACGCAAAGGGGCAGAAGGGAAATGCTCCTTCGCCTCTCCAGACAGCAGAGAGAGTGACATATTTATTTATTTATTGTTTATATTTATATCCCGCCTTTCCAGATATCTGGCTCAAGCCGGCTAATAACATTAAAATGGCATAAACAACCAAGTTAAAACAATTAATAAATACCATACCAGTATACAAAATATGCATGAAATACACACAAAGGCCTGTTCCTCCTTTCCCCTCTAAGTAAACCTACCTGCTGCTATGTATTATGCCAGATCAGAGCCACCAGGGATCAGATAAGACTACTTCTGAGACTGGATTCCTCCCAGCCAGCTAAACCTGCTCTAAATAAATAATTTTTAAAAAGAGAAATATAGATCTGAAGATTTTGTACTCACTGTTATGTGATTGTAAATGAGCTGTGACCACCCAAACAGGTCAGCTAGCCGGTAGAAAGCAGCCAGCTTACATCGCAGTAACTTCTCTCCTTTGTCATAGGCAATAGAATCAGACCCCCTGAGATCATTCACTGGTGTCACCATGCCGAGACCTGGAGGGAGGGGGGAGACAGGCCCACAGCATTGGCATTAAAAGTCTGCAAAGGCAAGCATGGCCTCCATAATTCTCAGGCTAACAGGAGTCACGGCATAAAATCTGAATACACTCAGCTGAGGCAAGCACTTCACTCTTCTTTAGAATTTATGAATGCACTGACTCTCCAGAACCAAGTTTGAGTCCAGTGGCACCTTTAAGACCAACAAAAATTAATTCTGGGTATGCGAGCCTTTGTGTGGATGCTGTGCTTATACCTTGAACAAAATTTTGTTGCCCCTGGACTCAAACTTTGTTTTACTTACTGCTTCAGACCAACGCGGCTGCCCACCTAAAGCGTGATTCCCCAGAGACAGGCTTGAGTCCTTGGGCAGTTTAACACATCCCTAACCCTAGTCCAGATTTGTTCTTAGGTGGCCTTTGGAATGTAAGAGTAATAAAGTCCTCTCTCTAAACTCCTCCAAAATCACTTGATTCGTTTGGAGGTAAATGTTCATTTTATACTTTTACACAAAACTCTCCTTTTGTTATTTTCACCATACCTTTTTTTAAAAGCAAGCCATGCCGCCATTTAGATATTTTGTTCAAACAGGAAATCATCTATTAGCTTTTAAAGATTGTTTTAAAATTGGGGGCCACACATTGCACAAGTAGGGCTTTGTAGCTTCATGAACCCATTTGACACCAGGAGAGAGATTTTATTCCTCAAGTTCCAAATATCGAACCACTGTAATACTTTCAAGGTGTGGTGGTCAGAGGGTTGGATTAGGCTCCGGGAGAGCCAAGTTTGAATCCCTGCTCTGCAATGGACACTGGCTGGGTGACCTTGGGCCAGTCACACACTCTCAGCCTAACCTACCTCTCAGGGCTATTGTGAGGATAAAGAGGGAAAAGGGAGAATACTGTTAAATTACTTTGGAAACCATTATCCTATTGGGAAGAAATAAATGCATGAAATTAGTATGTTTTGTTCAAGCAACAATCACAGAGGCCATCCAATAGCAGGGAAGGTAATCTTTTTCCATATCAAATACACATGCCAAGATTCCTCTAAAGATTGTTTCTGGCATTCATGACCAAGACCTCATAAAACTGTGAGGCGGGGCTTCTCTGCAACGAACTCGTTGAATACTCAGGGCTCTCTGAGTTTCACTAGCTTTTGGAGCTTTTTAGTGGACTTTCTTGACCCTTCCAGTCTATCCAGTACCTCCGGTGTAGGAAACTGGCGGCAGAAGACTTTTATCTGAGCCTCCCACTTGTGGCAACAGCGGGAGCTGGAATCAGATCGTCTTAAAGCAGAAGCTCCGAAAGACCAGCCGTGTTAGCATGACTGGAAAAGTTGTAACAACCCCATACAAGGGCCTCCAAACCTCATCACCAACATCCTTGGTGAAGATTTAGTGAGTATTTTTGGCTTCCTTTTTACAAGCTTCAAACCGGAAAAGAACATTTGACTGCCCCCATAAATTTTTCCCAGAGGCAAAGGAAGCGGAGACTCCCGCGATTTGTGGCTTGCCAGAGTTCGGGGGGGTTTTTTTGCACTCCGCTTTTCCGGGGGGGGGGGGGGCTGTTTTTTTTACACACATCGAGTTCCCCTAGCTCTTTTTCTACAAAACTACCCCTGGAAACACCTGCTTCTTTCCATTTCTATTTGTAGGATTATAAAATTGACTAATAATAGTGTAGTATAGACAAAATGAAATATAGCAGATAGGAAATAGAAAAATGAAGTGTATGTTGGGAATAGATTTCTGTTTAATGATATTTGTTGTGATACAAAGTTAAACAAGGGGGGAAAGGGAACTATGTAATGGATTGCTCTTTTTGTTTTGTTTTGTGTAATTCTTAAAAAACAATTTGGGCAAGCAGAAAAAAAAAAGACCTCATAAAACCGGTGAGGTGATAAACTGTCTCTTCTTCAGCTAGCTTATAAGTAATGGTTGATCTATGTGAAACAATGTGTTTGGGATATCTGTAATATTTTAGCTGATGGCTGATAAAAAAAGTTATAGGGCAGTTTGATTTTTAGAGTGCACTTTGCAGAGAAAAAGTAAAAGAAAAGATCAGACTTGAAAAGATCATCTAGATCAGTTCCTCCCAAAAAAGAAACAGAAGGACTCCTATGTGACTTAGAACTACACAGTGCATGCGCATCCACAGAGACTTGGACAAAAAAAACACACCTTATTTGCAAGGGGACATGGGCAGGCGCCGGATGCCACCGGAAACACGATCAGACGCTCGCCCTTGCCCCGCAGTTTCCGGAAACTAGTACCTCCAATGTACTAGTTTTTTGCCACGCAGTTTCGGCTGGAAGCCTCGGTTGAGCCACGGGAGTGCTATGCTTCCCAGATGTGCTGGTGAGATCGCGCCTGGAAACTCCGCCTGTTTTCCGTCTCACTTGTGTGGCTTCTGTTACGTGTGACCGCAGCCAAAGTTAAACAAGGGGGGAAAGGGAACTATGTATCTAAAGATGTGGTGAGTGAACCAATGTCTAGATATTTTAAAAATGGATTGCTCTTTTTTTGTGTGTGTGTAATTCTTAAAAAATTAATAAACCTTGCCCATTTGGGCAAGCAGGGGAGAAAAAAGACTGCTCATGAGAGAACAGCTCTGAAAGAACTTGTGACTGACCCAAGGTCATGCCAGCAGCTGCATATGGAGGAGTGGGGAATCAAACCCGGTTCTCCCAGATTAGAGTCCGCACTCTTAACCACTACACCAAACTGGGTTCCTCCCCTATTTTTCATCGTACAGGGTGGAGGAATGGGTGGCCAGGCCACTCCTTCCAAGAAAATGGAATGGTTTTACTCCCCATTCCCAGCCATCACCATCTGGCAGGGGTTACCAAGGGGCTGAATGACTCATGCTGTGTGATAATAGACCCTGGTGCTCAGAACACCATCAAACCCAGAAATGGAAGTCTGGTTCAGTAGAGTTCTGATGAGGAACTCTGAATGCCTTGGCTGGGCATATTTTGTCTGTCTTAATAATCTTAAGTTTGTTACTTATCATTCATTAGTTTCCGTGTCAGCTCTAATTGAACAAGCTGAATCCTTGACAACTATACTTAACTGAAGACTATGCTCCACGAGCTGTACTATCATGTAAACACATACCCCTTATCTCTTTTGCCTGTGATATCTTCTCCAAATCTGTTAAACTCTCAGTGGAGTAGCACATGAAGCTCATGGAAGGAAATGATAAACCAACAGACATCTCATCTGACAGATTGTGTCTGCTGTTTGATCAAATATAAGTCTGTTATGTATGCAGCCCGTCACACGGCGGCCACAAGAAAGTCAAGAGCTTGGCTCCAGAGAGACAATGGGACCTAGGATCCTAGTCCCCCCCCCAGCTGACCAATGGGCTTCTTGGCGGGAAATTCAAACCCTCCAATGGAGTGGGAGGCCCAGGGATGGGAGTGTATATAGTTGGCCTTGCAGGGCCGTTGTGTGTTCTTATGTTAAGTACGCAATAAACGTGTGCAACTGCATGTCATCGTCAGAGTCCTCCATGCGGCGAACCCAGTACTTTTCAAAGTCCTTTCCACTTGCCCTTCTGTTTCCTATGACAAACTCTTCTTTTTTTTCATTAAGGCATCTGGGTGGTAGAATGGAAGATTCTTTCAGGAATCTATAGTCAAGCCACTCATAAAAATGATCTAAGATGATGGGAGAAGTAAGAAGAGCAGGACCCTGCATGTCTGCATGTGTATATCAATATATTTAATTTTCAAAATGGCCACATCTGTAGATAACCAAATCCACATATTGGAGGCATGAAGAGACAAGACAGACAGATAAGAAAGATCTTTCTATAAACCTGAAAAAGCCACAAGTTTTGAGGAAAATGTGAAACCTAGATGTATATAGATTGGGGTTTAATAATTATAGAAGTAGCACCTGTAACTTAAAAAAATGTATGCCTTTTCCGTGCCTGTTGTAGGAGCTGGTTTGGAACCACAACTGTATTGTCGGCTTTCAAGCCTTGGTTTCTGTCAGTTAAAGACAGGAAATGAGGGCAGGGCCCTTTCCAGGCCATTTTTTTGCTTTTGAGGAAGGATTGGTCAAGTGAAGAGCAACCGGTGGTGTGGTGTGGTGAAGAGCAACCGGACTCTAATCCAGAGAACTGGGTTTGATTCCCCACTCCTCTACATGAAGCCAGCTGGGTAACCTTGGGTCAGTCTCAACTCTCTCAGAGCTCTCTCAGCCCCACCTCTCTCACAGGGTGTCTGTTGTGGGGAGAGGAAGGGAAGGTGATTGTAAGCTACTCTGAGACTCCTTTGGGTAGTGAAAGGTGGTGTAGAAAACAAATTCCTCCTCCTTCTCCTCCTCCTCTTCTTCATTGGGGCCACACCTGAGAGAAATTAAGAGAACTGATGATTCTAGATCAATTTCTGTTCTAACTTCCCTCAAAAATAAGACTCTTAGTGAAAGATAAGCTTCCTGAAACTGTTAAAAAGGCTGCAGAATGGGCTGATAAATTGATGCTCAATAGGGGTGGTTGGGAAAAATATGAACAAAAGGAGTTCAAGTCTAGAATACTTCCTCAAACCAGCCCTGTATCTGAGAGAAGGAGACCTGTGGGTAAAGATCTGAATAGAAAAGTGGAGGAATACAAGGACAGTAATTGGAAGGACAGACAATGTTATACCTCTGGGAAATCAGGACATTTATCCTATCAATGTGAAAGGAATCAAAATAACCAAAGAAGCCCTCAGCATATATGAAGAATCACGAAATTTTCCTCAGGAAATGAGGGAGAGCCGTATAGAGACCATAGTACAGCAGAAGAATATGAAAAGTCCAAGAAAACCACACCTTCACTTATTGCTAAAGAAACAATTTATCTGTGTGGAGTTAAATTAGATTCAGGGGCACCAGATTCGGAATTACAAGAAGTAATTCAAGTAAATGAGAGAGACGCAATGGCACTTCTAGACACTGGGGCGGCAGTAACTCTTGTTAGAAAAGATTTAGTTTCCAAAGAGGACAT